GGAAGATTATTGTAAAGAGTAGGTTTCAATCTTCAAATCTATTGTGGATTCAGTCTAATGGAAAAAATTTTTCAATATCTTTATAATCGATTCTTCAAATTTTTTTTGAGGAAATATCTTCATTTTTCTATTTACTACATGATATAAAAACATTTTTGAAAAGAACAAACTCAAAATTGTGAAAATAAAGATTTAATATTTTAAAATTCAGATTGATTGATTGTATGATTTTCTTACAAAGTTATAAAAGTTTAAAATTTCAATTTTTTTTTTCCAACTGTAAAATTCAATAATTTTTCCATTTTTACTAAAAGAAATACTTTCGACTAAATCTATTTTTTATAAGAACAATTCAAAAATTTCAAAACATATTGACAAAGTCAATATTCTCAATATTCTTTTAAATTTTGCAACAATATCTCTCAATATTTTCAACAATGAATCGCACACAACTCGATAAAGACATTAATGAAATATTAAAAATCTATATGCTAACAAATATAAAATATTTAATATTAATATAATCGATATGAATCTTTAATATTTTCTTTAGTATCCATAATAAATAATAATATAATTTATTTTTAAATGTATTGTATTATTCACACAGCCATCAGTGGATCTAATATTTCTATAGTAAAATAAAAATGCTTATTTATTCTCGAACATTTAGATAATTAATTGAAATATACTTTTTAATACAAATATATGTATATGCTAAAATGCATTATTTTTTCAAATGTCAACTGAAAATCTGAACTTGTCTAAAACTTTAGACACAAGATATTAAATTGGTTTCGAGAATATATTTATCAAAGAATATTTAATAAAATTATAATAAAATTAGCGTTATTCAAAGAAATCTAACTAACAAAATTTCGATATATTTCTAGATTTAGAAAACATTCGCCAACAAATAAGAATGCCAAACGAATATTAAAATAAACATGTGCGGGAAATTTTTATATATAAAATTGTAATAAATAATAAATAAATAATTGCAATTAAAAACACCGAGAAACTCGTGTTGTTCAATTTCTCAAGAAATTCCAATTATCCTCAAAAACCACCCTCACTCATCCCCCGATATCTCGCTCGAAACCGTGACATTGAAACGAGGCATTGTACGCAGTTGACTCATAATTCGCGGATTGTTCCAATTTTACTCTCGACCAAGAACGATATTTATATAGGGAAGCTTTTGCCTGAGTTCTCCTAACGAGCTGACTCAGCCAACCTTGCTGCTTCATCGCCTGCAAAATCACGAAATTAGAAATCTGCGGCCTAAAATCGTTCCTCCGGTGCAATGACCAAAAGACATTGATCATTGATCATGAATTTCATTCAAAATTTTTTGATATTGACAGTTAATAGATTGCGAATGTTTACATATATATATATGATAAATATGCAAAAAATATGATTTATACAAGAAAAATATATAAATATGGAAAAATTTGGAAAACTTTTCTATTATGCAATAATATAAGATCTGATATTTTATCAGAATATTAATATTAGATATTGTTAATAGGGCAATAGATATTAATATAATTTAATACTTCATAATTAATATTTAATTAAATATGATATTAAATTTTAAATGTAGATAATATTAAATATAAACAATCATTACAATATGATTTATATTATATTATGATGTACAATTTAAATTTTTAATTACAAATTACAAGTATTTCCTCTAAATTCTCTAAATAATGAAAATGGAATCATCTTTGACTCAGTTCTGTCCTAATAATATTTTATTTTTTCGATCTTTCAGCAGCTTTAAATATCGAAAGATATTTTCACGAAATTTAATTCATCATTGTGAAAATTACATTGAAATTCAAAATACAAACTATTACGTTTAACGTTCAATTAATAACTCAATTAACAAGAATACAAAAGCACAATTAATAATCAGCATTGACTGCATATTATTATTATCGATATTACATAATTACAATATGAAAGTTTATTGACAGATGAAATCAATTTGATGAAAAAGATATTTTACATAAGCATTTACATAATAATACATTCTTAGATATCTTTTTAAGTATATATAAATATATATATATATATTTAAAATTCTTCAATCGTAAAATATTTTTGTTCAAATTTTATTTTATTCATAATTTATAAAAAAATACATTTGCATATTTTTATAGATAGATATTTATTAATTAGTTAAAAATAAAAAGATAGAAAAATAAAAATAAAAAGAAATATTCAGAATTATCAATTATTTTAATAAAATTTTGCAATTTTGGAAATTCATGATGTTATGGAAATGCCGTTTTAAATAACAAAATTAAGTTCACTCGGATTTTCACTAGATAAAAAATAAAATTTGACGAAAAGACATTTCTAATGCCTTTAGAAAAACTTTAAAATCAAAACGAAAAACCAAATATATTGGCAATGATTCTTTTATATTTTCTTTATAATAATTAAATAATGAAGTTAAAAATGAGGTGTATAATTGGATTACAGAACAAATAATAAAAATAAGGATAAATGAAAATTAAGATTTAATCTTAACTTTCTTTAATACATTAAATCTTTGTTCAATTCTTTTTTTCTGTGATTAACTAATTAAAATTAACTTCAAAAAGTAAAAAGTACATATAATAAATAGTAAGTTCAAAAAATTTAATTAAAACTCAATTGTAATTGATACAAAAATATAAAATATATATAAAAAAAATATAAAAAATTTTCGATGCATTAAAATTAAAGTGATTTCATTCACTTTCTTTACATGAATATTTCTAATAATATCCATCTATCTTGGCAATTAAAAAAATAGAATCTTAAAGCATTTATAGATACCTTTAATATGAATATGAATCATTCGATTCATATTTTATTATATTTATATATAACGAGTACTTTTTAAGAAATCTATAAAAATTATTTTTGTAAATTTTTATAAATAAAACAATGAAAACAAAACAGAGTATCGATTCAATCTCGCTATTGTATACAATTTGTCGAATAATATTCGTTTATTTTAGACTGTTAGTGATACGTACTATAAGAAGAAATAAAAAAATGTGAATTTTATTATGAAAAAAACTCTGTCAAAAGTGATATGGTAACTTGTGAAAATATTTGAACATTAACCTAAGCAACGAATCAGCTTCAACCTCATATCCATAGAATCTTATAATCCCCTTCTGAATAATCCATAAAACCCTAAGCACCCGTTTACCAAAATGATTTAAAGTGAACAAGATGAACATGCAAGCTAGACTCAAAGGGGAAATTTTATGTCCACTACTGAACTCCAGATTTATGACACGTTGTTAACATTGAGCCATCTACAGGGCAGACCAATATAAACTAATTCTAAGCTTCCAACTAATAAGAAGAAAATTAAGAAATAAAATCGATTATTCTCGAAGGAAAGTATATTAATATTCAAATTTATGAATATATCAATGATTATAGTTGAATCGAGGTCACGATAATTAATCTATTATCCTATATTAATTCCAATTAATTCTATTCTCTTAGAGATACAATTTACTGCTCGTTAATATAATACTTTTCATAAATTATTAGAATAAGTAGATAATTCTTCTTGAAGATTTTATTCTATTTTAAACTTTATTAAATTACTTATTATTACTTCTGTATAGTTTAAATTTTATTACTCGGTTCTAAATTTTTCCCTTTAAACTTATAAATTTTATCAGAAGAAGGAAAATTAATATCTCGTACAACAAGTTTTTTGAAACATTTTATTACCGCCAATCAAAAATTGGCCCACCAATCGTCCCTACTCGCGCCAATAAACGAACGAAATTGGCGGGAAAATTCGTGTTAAAAACGCACGAAACAAGAGCAAGCATACGAAACATAGCGGAATACTTACCGGACTCCGAGACGGAGGGACTGCCCGCAGACCTGTCGGAGTTCCTGGAGCTGGCCGTGGAGCTGGTTGACGAGGCCGTGCCGAGCGAGCACTCGGAAACGCTGCGCCGTTTCGAGAGGAGAGCCGCAGCGGCCGCGGCTCCAGGGCCGCAAGAGGAACCGGTCGGGGCGCTCGAGCTCAGCCCGTGGAGGCCGTGGAGGCCGTGGAGGCCGTGCAGGCCCGTCTGGTTCGTCAGCTGCTCCAGCCGTCGTCTCAGGAACCTCTGCTCGCGGGACAGCTGTTCCTTGTGCACGGCGTGCTTGCGCTCGCGCTCCTCCAGGCTCTGCAACCACAATTATTGCACATGCGGTATTCAGCCTCGCTCAATTCGTTATCAATTCTTCGAAATGGAGGAACGAAACTCGATATGCAATTGTCAAGCAATTTCGATCGACGTATCAATGCCTGAATATCTTTCTCTCGCTTATCTCCTGTCCTTGTTTCGATTGAATCGAGAGAGAGAGAGAGAGAGAGAGAGAAACTCTTCAGTTAAATGCCCGTATTCGATGTGGATCTCGATTGAAGATGTTTAAGCGTAAGTAAGGAGCAGTGATTATTATGCTAGGCAAAAAATGTATGTATCTATAAATTATTTATTATTTCTTTTTTTCAGGATAATTTTAAATTTTACGCATATATGTATGTTCTATTAGATTTTTCAATTTTTTTTTTATTGATTATTCAAAATGGACAAATATATAAGCTCTTGTAATTAAACTAGTAGAAAATTAAATAAATATCCTGATATTAATGTAAAATAAATCTTTGTTTATTTTTGCATCAACTCTTGAAGTTTTACAAATCTCAACATTTTTGTATATTAATTTCTGTATTCCAATCTGTATTTTGTAAGTAGATGATTTTATTATAATAATTAAATGCAAATTATAGTATAAAAATGATGATTAAGTGAAATAATTTAGATGGATTTTTTTAAACCCATCATTCTGTGTTTTAAGTTTTTCATTGTTCTTGTAATTCTACTTCTAAACTAGAAAGATAAAGTTCTAACTTTTTAGAAATTCTTTTGATTTTCTTGTATTGTCTTTATAATTATAAATATTTATACATAGAGAAAAAAATTAATTCTATTTTATGAAAAAAGTTTATTAAAAAATTTGTGAATATATATAGATATTGAAAATATACATAATATGCAAATTATTCTAAGTATATTCCTTTATAACATACATAATAATTTTCATATTTGAAATATTTTGAATATTTATAGAAAATTCAAAAAATTTGCAAAATATTCATAATACAATATGGAAAAATTCCTTTTTAGTATCAAGCACTATTAACTTTTGCTGTAGAGGACTTATATAGATAATTGAAGGTAAACCTTATATGTTCACGGTTGTTAAGTAGCTGGGATATCTGTGTGTCCTATATGTTCTGTCTGAAATATCACATGCAATGATAAATATTCTTTTATATTCTCTTGAAACTTTTTCTAAATATTGGTACTTTTACTAATTCTAATATTTCATATATACGTTTTAGTTGAAATAAAAATAGCAAATAAATTTATCTAAAAATAAGAATATATAAAATAAAAAAATAATCTTTCACGATAAATTATCCAATCAATTTATCTGTCAAATTTTTAAGTATCACGTCTCGATTGACCAAATTAATTAATATTAGGAAAAACTGTAATTTATGTTTCCTATGAAAATTAATAATAATTTTATTTCATTATTATATATTATCATATATATATATATATATATATATATACATATATTCCTCATTATATATTAATATTACCATATTCATGTATTCATGTAATTAATATTCAGACCGTTCGATATTAATAACAATCTAATATTCAATATTAGATATTCATCATTATTATTCACATTTTAACTCGTTAATTTTTCCTCATCTTTCTAAACTACCAACTTACCAAAAATCTCCTTTTACCAATTTTCCAGATGATATATCATCGAATATAATCAAATTACAAGATGAAATCAATCTGTGAAAAACAACATACAAAAGAAAAAGATACATTCACGATATCATCGTTCTCAGCGTTTAAAAATTTCGCCACAACGGATAATCACGTTATATCTCGGGTATTTTTTTAATGCGTTTAGTTTGGTGAAACTGGTCGCGAAAGGATTTCGACGAACCGCGTTTCCGTTCGCGGAGCCCACGGCAATTGGCTTCCGCTTTTGTTCCATCTTCATTTCGAAGATTAATTCCGGCGAGTGGATACGAAACTGGTGAAAAATCGAGGAATTAATGACGGGGTATGGGATGGAAACACGGCTCGCCAAGCTTCGAGGGGGATTACAATAAAGCCGCGGCTAATTCGCGGCCACCGACATGAGATTTAGATAATTTAAACTTCTCGTTGGGAATGTTCGTTTCGCGTTAACGAACCGGCTCGGATATATTATTTTCCGCGCCCTGGGTTGGGGGATCTGGTTCAAAGGGTTTCGTGTTTTATTAATAAACGAGGAGGGGGCGTTAAATTGAACGAGTGAAAATTTTGATTATTGAATTCGGATGCGAGCGAAAATGGGGAGCTTTTCGATTTCGATCCGATAAAAGATAAATTGGGCGAATAAATAGGATTGTTAGGAACGTAATTTTTTTTTTTAGTGGAAGAAGTATCGAGAGTTGGAGAAAATGTGGACGAAGATGTGGGATTATATATTGAATCATTTAATCGATTGTTGAAGATTTATTGAATAATGCGAGTGTGAAGAATGGATAAATATCTCTGTAGCGATTGTATTTGATGTTTGAATTTTTAAAGAAATCTTTTTGTTAAACTTGCGTAAAAAATTTTGTAATATTACTTATATAGTAATAATTCCAATCTTTTTTTAAAAGACGATCCTTGTTTGCAATAATTTGAAATCTATCTATTTTTTTATAATTATAATACGAAAAAATGTTTGGCGGAATAAATTATAAATAAGTAACATATTTTTTTAAGAATTTCTTTTTTTTCAAACTTTCAATTGGCGAGTTAATTAAGTAGTTTATCTAGTCTTAAGTAGTCTAAATAATAATAATATTTTATTTTTAAAAATGAATTAAAATTTTGATTATTGAAAAGAAGCATTAAAAATCTGATTTAGCAAATGTAAAATATTTATTGTTTATAATCGCGAATCGTTAATATTTTTTTTCAGCATTTGATAGATTACAAATCACTTCTATTTATTTATTATTTATTATATACAATTAAACTTCTGCATTTATCAAATTCAATATTCATCACTTTCTTTTTATTTCGATATTTTTAAAAAAAAATCTGATATTCAAAAGTTATTGACGTACAAATGATTTTATCTTTATATTTTTATGATATTGAACACTATTTTTTGTTAAGGCTTGCAATTCATAGATTGGAGATTCATATCGTAACAAATTATACTACTTATGAAGAAATAATAATCTTCATTAGAATTGAAATTAATTTAACTAATTTTTATTGGAATATTTTTGTAAAAAAAAACATTATTTATTAAAAGTTTAAAAACACATTAAGCAAAAACAAAGAGGGAATAATCCCAATCCTCAGCAACAAGTTCAAAGCTATATTAAAATTCGATTTACATTTGCGGTTCAATTACAAAATCCGGTCAACCACTATTCAAAACTCTTCAGACAAACAGAAACACATAGTCGATCATTCTATAGTCACGTTTCAATCATTTTAATAGACAATTTAAAATAATACTATGACTTTTCTTCTTGCTTGTTTTAATGCATTGAAATTATTGAGATTATATCTAAAAATCGAAATCGATTTGATATTTTACTGTAATTTAATATCAATGTGTATTTTTGTATTTTTTAGATAATAATTCATAATTATAGTCGTACAGCATATAGAAAAGTCAACAATGAATTATTTTTAAAGGAACGATATAGAACAGATAAAAAAATTATGAATTATTTTAAATATTTATAGTCAGTCATATGTAAGAAATACATAGAAATATACACAATAAATATACGTATGTTTAATGTATAATTATTTATAGTTTATAATCGAGAAAAATATATTTCAAAAATATTGAAAAATAAATTTTATAAATAATCATCAAATTTTATTAAATATCTATAATCAATCATATGTCAACATAATTTTTCATATAATCATGAAACTTTTAATGCAAGCAATGGATGACTTATATAGAGAAAAGATTGAATTGAACTATTATAAATATGATACTGTGAATTTTATCAATTTGATCAAACTAACAATAAAATTACAAACAATTACAAATATTATCAAGTGTTTATAATTACCATACAATGAATATAACAACTATATATTAACTAAATACTTAAAAATTGATAAAGAGTCATTCACAATAGAAACGATATTACAAATTCGAGTGTCAAAAATTAAATTAATCGATGTAATAAATTTTTCAAAATGATCACATTCGACCATATTATACAATAAAAATTTAACAACGGGTGTCATTAAGCGAAAAGATTGATCCAATCGCTACAATAAAATTACGAGTGGGTTAGACAAACCTGAGACAAAGCTGTAGCTAAGAACAGCAGTGTAGTGTATCAATATTTAATTTAACTTTATAATTAGGTAGACTGTCGTTTCGTTCAAGAAGATTCGGAGCAATCGCTTTCGAACGAATCGTTTGATTCCCGTCGCGATGGTGCACGTCACTATTGTCGAGGAAAAGAGGCAACTTCTCTCGGCTGACCCAACCCGATTCTCTTTGACTTAAATGAAAAATGTTTCCTGCCCCGACCGATGCTCCTTTTAAACGACTTTGATGGTATCGCTACCCTCTATCGCTGATGGCGAACCGAATGAATAAAGCGAATTATTCCCAGAGTTCCTCTTATAATCCTGTTTGATTAAACATGGGAAATTTGAATGTTCTTATCTTTAGGGCAATATAATGGTACTGTGGCATCGTTAATTTGTCAACTGGAAAGAATTCCTCCATTCGAAGCAAGTTACTTTATAAGATATTCATATTTGTATGTGATGCAAGCTCAAGTTTATTGCATTTATCAATTTTTAATTTTTAATAATCGAGGGGTTTATATTCCATCATAATTTAATCGTGGAAATTATATAAATAGAATCAATATATCATGTTCCTGCACATCGAGATCTTTTTTAGTAGAAATACTTAATATTTTCTTAATATTTCGTTAATATATCGCAAATATAAAATTTGAATAATTTTTTTTTGAAATATTTTGAATATATTATTATATAATATTTGTAATTAAATAATAAATTTGATAAATTTTTTTACAACTATGATG